CTGGGAACGAATGAGCAATTACCCCCAATCGTGTCTTTGAGATAGAAGTCTCCAAGAAAGGCCATACTCAAAGTTCTACTGCAGTTGTTTCAATTCTAACAGAATATAGTCTCTTTTCTGACTCCTTTTTGCACGAAGGCTTTGCGGAATCGTGTCTTTGACTACTTTAGCGCAAGTACCAGCCAAACAGGCAAAGAATTGGCGACTGAGACTCTTTTTTTTTTTGATAAATAGGCGACTGAGACTTGAGGGGGCAGTAGCAGTACTCTCCCCGAGCGGTCCCAGGAAACGCAATTATTGCTTCTTCTCCCTGCCGGGCAAAAGGCGACTTGACTACTCGTCTACTCTGAGGTCGTCGTTCGGAGTAGGCGGCACGGCTGATCATAGACTCTGCCGGCCAAGTCAATGGAGTAGTTGGAACTTTTTTTTATATCTAGTAGTTGGAACTTGGAAGGTGGAACACATCATTCTGTAGTTGGGTGTTGGATGTCACCGAACAGACGAGTGCTGGCCTCTCTATCGGGCCTTTCCAATCATTGATCGAGTCACGGTTTGTAGAGTGTCCATTCTAGGATGTCCAAAGTCAAGATAAACTTGATTTAAATTTAAAGCTTGGAACCACGAGGCATCCTCAGCATCACAGATCTTGGCGCTAAGTCTCGATGCCGGTCGTGCATTATAGCGCCAAGCTCCGGTTACATCAACGCCATGTCATCCAATCATGCTAGCCAGGCCTTGAGGCTCGGCACCATGGTCTATGGCGCAGAGACGTGTTATCTCAACGCCAAAAGCCATGACGTCGACCCCAGGTCCAAATTTACAAATAGGTCTTCCAGAGTGTAAATGTGAATGTTTTTTTGAAAAATGGTTAAGAAATTTGTTTTTTTTATCTTTTTTTTCAAAAAATGTTCACATTTACACCCCTGGGCGACTTATTTTCGTCTTTAGACCCTAGGGGTTGACGTCATGAATCGTGGTGTTGATGTAACACGTCTCGGCATCACAGGACATGGCGCCAAGCTTCTAGCCCTAGATGATGTGCCGTGTGTACGTGGCAGTGACATGGCCAGAGCTCGGCGCCGTGGATCTTGGTGCCAAGCTCTGGCCATAGAGGTCGCACGCCTGCCCGCCCGACCACTAGCCCTTCTTCTTCCTCCCTCCTCTCGCCCAGCGAGTTCTCAGTCTCTCCAATTCATGGCGCCCTCTCTCTAATCTCCGATTTTGACCGTTGAAACTTCGATTTTCTCCGTGGATCTGCTAGAGCAAGGTATCCCCCTCTCCTCCTTGATTTGTACACATTAATTTGTTGTATTTATTATGTATTTTAGGAAACCCTAGTTTGAATGTTGTGCTTCATTATATGATGATTAGTGAAACCTGAGGTCAACCTTCTTGGGGCCATCGATCCACCAGAAGAAATGGCACCTCTCTCAATCCCACAATTGTTAATACCACCATGAATAGGCCATGATATTTGGATAAACACTCAAACCAAATTAATAAGATACGAGTACATGCACTTACATGATAATCACAACATATGTAGTAAACCCACGCAGCAGTATCCTCATGACTAGATCGATCCACCCTGGCTCGATTACCATAGTCACACATAGGCACAGGTAGTTCAAGAGGGATCGGTGCATCCTTGCAAGACATGTCATCATAAAGCTCTCTTTGGGACGACCCCTCCTTTTCCACTTGTTCCTATGCATCAAGCAGTCCATCTTTGCAAACAATTAAATTGAGCAGTCATACTCTAGACCAATTAAATTGCAACATATATTACATACAATTCCAATAGAACAGTAGTGCACAATCCTAGGACTCAAACATAATCTGCAAAACTAACCACTCATATCGTCCATTCTTATCACAAAATATCGAATCCATATTATAAATTTCATTCAAAAATCAAGAACTCTAATCAAACTAGGGTTTGCAAAATACACACTACGTAGACCAAATCAACGTGTACAAATTGAGGAGTGGAGGGACGATACCTTACTCTCGAAGATCTACGGATCAACTCCAAGTTGCAAAGGTCAAATGAAGAGTAGGACGGATTGGGGATAGAGAGAGGGAGAGAGGTGAGAGCACAAATGAGTGTTGGCTCGGGCACAAGGCTGGTCGCGGGGACTAAGATTCGAACCTCAGCACCAGGATGCAATGCGCTGAGGTCGGCGCCAAAATCTATGGTGCCAAGGTTGGTGCCATGCATCCTAGCCGAGGTGTGTGTCCATGTCAGCACCACCTTGGTGTCCCACGCCACCTCAACCCAAGTCTCGATGCCATGGACATGGTGCTAAGTTGTGTTACCTCAACACCAGAAGCCATAGCGCCTACCCTTGGGGTCCAAAGACATAAATAAGTCATCCAGGAGGTGTAAATGTGAATATTTTTTTGAAAAAAGGCTAAAAACAAAAAAGTAGAACCATGTGGCACATACCAAGAGCGGCCAATTCAGGAGGGAAATGTTATTAGTTAGAGTGAATGAAAGCTGAGCGATTCCATCCCCAATTTTGGAGTGTTTGGTTTGAGAACCTCGGGTATGAGCTTTCAATCTGGATCCCTGAAGACTATGGTACTAGTAAATAGATATTGAAGCATAAGGTGACCATGCTAGAGCTATTTGGACAGAACGATATTAAAATTGGTTCCGAGGTTTTGCGATGTGGCATACGGAGTGATTGCAGTTCACCTAGAATGGAATTTGATTTTCCTTGATAGGGAGGATAAAACACTGATTGCATATGACATGAACTGCAGTAAAGTTCATGTCCTCCTTGCCCGGGTCATCCGCTATCCTAGAACTACCTGGAAACTATTATGTATGAATGGCAGACCTCACTATCTTCCTTATGTTCCCTTATTCATAGAGTCATTAGCAGAGCAGTAAAAATGCATATGCTGTATTTTGTTGTTACGACATGTCTTTGTTTAGGTTGGTAGTTGTTTTGATTCTATATATAGGCTAATTTTGGCTTGGTAACTAAAGAAATAGTGTGTTGAATATCATTAATTCTGCTGCTTTGTGGAGGTTGTGGAGTCTGAGTGCTTTTGAACAATTTTCTTACAATGGCTAAGGGAGGAAGAACAGGGGTTCCATGGTGCATTGGCTACTAATTTGAAGGAAACACTAATTACAGTTTGCCTTGCCAGAAGGAGTGGCACATAGGAGGACCACAACTACCTCATTTTCGTTATGTAAGTCTATAGAGATCAGTACCTTTATTACGCAACATCAGTTGACAAACTTGTCATATTAGCATCCATTGTTATTGTAAAAAGTACTCTTGTTTGGGGACATAATGAATGGATGTAATGATTATATCTGTATGTTGTGTGTTCAGTAAGGTAGCTATTAAGGTCCAGCTGAATTAGTATTAACATTGTGAAATCCGGATACAATTCAGTCACCGTCGGATATATGCGCCATAGATTGTGTTGTCATCACCGCCGCCGCATACTAGTCACCATTGGTGAAGCAAATGTCCAACACCGCCGCTATTCGTCTGATGCGGCATGGATCAATAGTGTATCACTACCGAATCGTTTAGTAGCCCAACACCGACTAAAGGATCATCAAAGGCGGATCATACTGCAAGGTGACGGTGACCATAACCTTTGAACAGATGGTTCATACGCCCAAGCGATGGTGATGTTGACCTCGACACAGACGTGCCAGACATCAAAGCGATGGTGAACATGCACTGCACATAGTCAGATCGTCCTACAATGTGACGGTGATCATGACCTTTACACAGGCGGTTCGGACACCCAAACGATAGTGTTGTTCACCTTGACACAGACGTATCGGACGTGAAAGTGATGATAAACCCGCACTGCACACAATCAGGTCATGGTGCAAGGCGACGGTGATTATCATGTATCAGACGAGAAGAGCCCTGATAGATGGCGTAGAAGCACTACATCGCTCCCTGTTCGACGGCCGCAAGGCACTGTCGGTTAATCCCCGACAGGGCCCCGCCCGAGCGTGATGCATCAGGATAAAGATCACCCCATGCCCACGGAGCGCTGGGCTTTGGGCCCGCTCGGCAGCTGCTAAGGGCAGGGGGAGGATCCTTGGGTATCAGGGAAGCCTAGAGAAGGCTCACTCGGGGAAGGCTCCACGACAGCAGGCAGCACCTGACGGTCAAGTGCCAGACTGCAGCAGGAACGTCAGGGAGTAGTTGCGATATTGTGAGCCCCCCTCATACACGACAAAGGAGTACCCGACGGCGCCAAGACGAATGAACCAAGAGCACCACGCCGAGAGGCCCTAGGTTAGAATCCATCTGCTTTGTACCCCATGCCATCCTTGGTATGTAAGGGGAGGCATTGGCTCTTATAGAAGGGATCGATCAGCTAGAGATAGGAAGATTGAATAGAACCCGATCGGCCAAGAACCTTAGGATAGCACCGCGTAGTCCCCTACCGATCTCTCTCTACTCCATCATTGTAAGAAACCACCGATTGGGCATTCCTAACACAAACAACACCATACTACTGGGGCTCAGAAGCGTGAAACTGGATAAAATCGCCTGTGTCACTGAGTGTTTTGAGTGTCCGAGCCACCGGAGGTCCACACACTGACCTCTGACGAACAACACAATGCTTGCCGTGGTTCCCAACCCGCGAGATGTATAAACCCACACCTGTTGCTTTGGTTTTTTTCTTAGTATGCTAGATATCTCACCAGTGTGTTAGTCATCATATATAATTTGACAAGGTCACCACTGCACATACTTGTCACGTATATCATGATATTGCTTTATTAAAATATACTGTAATTTGCCTAAACTTGAGATGGTTCCTGCAGCTAACTTTATTTCAAGACATGTTTACTAGTTCCGATAACAAAACCAAAACATTGGCGAAATGGAAAAACCCAAAAGTAGTTGATTCTTAAAGCAAAAGACCATTCAAAAGAAAATCAGGCAAAGGCCACCCGCCACTATGCTCTACTCTACGTGAGCAGCAGAAACACTACAGTCCTTTTATTCAACAATATGTAGCGCTGCAAATGCTTCTTTGATTGTGATGACTTCAGCATAAACATCCTGCATTGCTGGTCGATCTTTTGGTGTCTCCATAGAGCACGAGAGACCGAGTTTCATAAGATGCACGATGCAGCTTTCTGCACCAGCTATTGCATTATTTCCATGGTCCAAATTGTAGTCCACGTCACCATACTCAGAAATTGGAACGATACACGGGTCTAGAACCTCACAAATTTTTTGAGGAAATGCATTGCTCACAAATCTGTGAAGGTTCAAACCGTTAGTAAACATCTCATCTGTTGGACGCTTTCCTGTAAGCATTTCCAACATAATAATTCCGTAGCTGTAGACATCGCCTTCCATTGAGGGTTTGCTCCCCAATCCATACTCTGTAATATGTTTGAATTGATCAAACAGTATATCTTAATATTTGAAAACATAAAATATATAAAACAAAAGTGGACGTGATATTTAAAATGCCCGATTTTTGAAGGAAATGTATTCACCTGGTGCAATGTATCCAATTGATCCTCTTGGTCCCAGTAAGCTTGTAGAACTATGATGGCTTGAATGACTAAAACTTTGAAGAAATTTAGCTAACCCGAAGTCAGCAAGACGTGCACCCATGACATCATCAAGAAGGACATTGCTGGGCTTCAAATCACAATGGACTACAGGAGGCATGCAACAGTTGTGCAGATAATCCAAAGCAGAAGCTATGTCTGTTGCTATTGTTATTCTGGAGGCAAAACTTAATGGTATTTCCAACCCATACTTGCTCAAATTTGGATGGAGCCAGCTCTCTAGGCTACCATTAGGCATATATTCAAGGATAAGAGCTTTGAACTGATGTCCTGATGGGTCAAAGGTTGAGCATGCAGTAATCACCTTTAGAAGATTACGATGACGAGTGTTCCTCAGTGCCTCACACTCAGCAAGGAAGCTCTTTGGTGTGCCAAGTTGATCAAGTTTAAAAACCTTAATAGCAACTGCATGTTCTTCAGACTCAAATCTACCTTTGTAAACTGATCCGGATATTCCTGAACCGACCAAGTTGTATGAGGAGAAATTATTTGTTGCTCTGACCAAATCAGCATATGAGTAAGTTTTCAATTCCTTGCAGGATGGATGAGCTGCTCGTTTGACTTTGTTCCTCTTCTTCAAAAGGATGGCTACTAATAAGCATGATAATGGGAGCAAAGAAAGAGCACTCAATCCTAGTACCTTCAGAATTTTGGAACTGCGGTTTTGTCTGGAGGCCTTCGCATCACAAAGTGGCAATTGGAGCAGGGGACTGCTCCCACATAAGTTCTTGTTCCCTTGAATGTACACCACACTTTTGTTATGAAATATCCTACCAGTGGGTACTGGACCTTCAAGGTTGTTGAAGGACAAATTGAGGAGGTTCAAGTAGCTGAAGGACTCAAACAATTCAGGTATTTCTCCAGAAAGATTGTTTTGAGACAGATCTAGCTCGATGATGCCCCTCAATTCCGCAAATGATTCTGGGATTTTTCCTTCAAGAAGGTTCCCTTCCATGTGGAGGAACTCCAAGTGGACACAGTGGCCTATGGTGGATGGAATTTGTCCAGACAACTGGTTATGGGAAATATTGAGCAGGCCGAGATTGATCAAGCCGCCAATCTCAAATGGTATTTGTCCAGAGAGTTGGTTGTGGGACAAATCCAAACCTTGAGTAAGGGAGGAAAGAGTAAAAAGCTGCTTTGGTATGCCACCATCAAGGCTGTTGCAAGAGAGGTTCAAAGTTTCTAAATTTTTGCAGTATCCTAAAGCTTCTGGGATTGGCCCACTAAAATCATTGTCCTGTAAAAGGAGGTCATTCAGTTGACTTAGATTACTGATTGAGGGCGGAATTTGTCCAGAAAGTTTGTTCTGTGATAGGCTTAATCCAGATAACCTTGAAAGATTCCCGATTGTGTCTGGGAGGCTTCCAGTAAACAGATTCCTTTCCATGTAGAGGGTCGTAAGGTTTGTGAGGCCTCCTATCTCTACTGGTATATTCCCAGATATGCTATTCCCGTACAGCATCAAAACCTCTAAGCTTTTTGGAAGAGCACCAATGGAACTTGGCAATGTTCCTTGAATTTTGTTTCTTGATAGAGATAATCTGACTAACCGTGTGCAATTGGCTAGTGAGGAAAGGAAAGACCAATCACCTGCTTCGAGCTGATTGGTGCCAAGATTCAGTTTCTCCAAGTTGGGTACTGAACCCAAAGAAGGAATAGTTCCAGAAAATGCATTGTACTCTAGATCTATCAACATAATGTTTGTTGCGTTGGCCAGTGAAGCTGGGATTTCGCCATGGAATTGGTTTCCTCCCAAAATCAAGGTTTGGATACTTGGAAGAGTGTAGCCAATGCTATGTGGAATTTCTGCCACAAGGCCGTTCCTGCCTATGCCAAGGTATGTGAGCGCTGACATATTGTAAATAGAGGCTGGGACAGTTCCTGACAACAGATTGTAAGTCAGGTCCAGTAATTGAAGGTTTGGAATTTTACTGATACTCGCCGGGATGATACCTTCAAAACTGTTGTTTCCAAGAGAAAGCCAGATAAGGGAAGATAAATTCCCTAAAGAGGAAGGTATAGGTCCAATAAGATTGTTTGATTGCAAAATGAGATACTGCAAGGGAGAGTTGGGTTGCGACAAATCTGGTATAGGCCCAACAAAATTGTTCAATCCAAGGGCAATTGTTTCGAGTGACATGCTATTTAACAGAGCATAAGGAATCACTCCACCAAGACTGTTCTCTGTTAAGTCCAGATATTCAAGTGATGAACTATTAGATAGGAAAGGTGGGATTGGTCCGGTAAGTCTATTGTTTGCAAGAACAACAGCTCTAAGAGAGGGTCTGTATCCGAGTGAAAGCGGAATTTCGCCGCTTAGACTATTTTGAGCAAGATGCAAAAGTGAAAGATTGCGGAGCATCCCCAGACTTTCTGGAATAACACCACTGAAGCCATTTTGCCGCAATATGAGCTTCTCAAGATTTAAACATTGGCTCAAGCTTGAAGGAATCTCACCTTGGAGAGCGTTTCCTCCAAGATCGATGATCTGAAGTCGAGAGCATGAAGATATGGTGCTTGGAATCACACCGCTAAGATCATTCGAGCTGAGGTTGAGGTACTGCAGCCTATTTAGTTGTCCAAGCTCAGTTGGGATTTGACCATTGAGCTGGTTATTTGCCATGTGCAGCCTTGCAAGGAATGTAAGATTAGCGATGCAGGAAGGTACTTGGCCATTGAGCTCGAAGGACTCGAGGTTCAGTGCAACAACACGAGACGCATGTCTCTTGCTGCAACTGACACCAGCCCAGCTGCAGTGTTGGAGGGAATCATTCTTCCATGAGGTTAGTAGCCCGGGAGGGCCGGAGAGATGGTTCTTCAGACACAGGAGGGTCTGAAGGTCCGTGTTAGGTTCATTATGGAGTGGCGTGCTATCGAGTGAAGATGCAGAGAGAAGGAAGCAACTGAAGCAGACAATGGACAAGATAATCCCCAGAAGCACTGAGGAATCAAAACTTACTACAGGAGACATGTATATGTGTGTTGCACAGACTTATGCTGAATTGCGGATGTAATGTCGGTATGGTGCATTGCTAAGAGTCTTCAAGAAATATATAGCCAGAGCCAGCGTGCTTTCATGGGAAGAAAATTCAGCGGAGAAGACCTTCAGTCCCTCTCCCATGCATCCCGACCAAGCTTGTTGGAATAGATCGAAAAGGAGCAATGACTGATTAGTGGACTGGCCGCTGGCGTGAGTCGACGCGAGGAGACTTCGGAAGGCGTACTGCAGCTTCGTTCGGGTGCTTTCATGGGAAGAAAAATCAGTGGAGAAGACCTTCAGTCCCTCTCCCATGCATCCCGACCAAGCTTGTTGGAATAGATCGAGAAGGAGCAATGACTGATTAGTGGACTGGCCGCTGGCGTGAGTCGTCGCGAGGAGACTTCGGAAGGCGTACTGCAGCTTCGTTCGGGTGCTTTCATGGGAAGAAAATTCAGTGGAGAAGACCTTCAGTCCCTCTCCCATGCATCCCGACCAAGCTTGTTGGAATAGATCGAGAAGGAGCAATGACTGATTAGTGGACTGGCCGCTGGCGTGAGTCGTCGCGAGGAGACTTCGGAAGGCGTACTGCAGCTTCGTTCGGGTGCTTTCATGGGAAGAAAATTCAGTGGAGAAGACCTTCAGTCCCTCTCCCATGCATCCCGACCAAGCTTGTTGGAATAGATCGAGAAGGAGCAATGACTGATTAGTGGACTGGCCGCTGGCGTGAGTCGTCGCGAGGAGACTTCGGAAGGCGTACTGCAGCTTCGTTCGGGTGCTTTCATGGGAAGAAAATTCAGTGGAGAAGACCTTCAGTCCCTCTCCCATGCATCCCGACCAAGCTACTAAACAGCGTATAGCGGATTGGTGTCGAGGTGGCTCATGCAGCTCTATATTGACCAACCTCTAAAAAAGAGCCTCCCGTCTTTGAAAATCATTTTTTATAGTGAAACAGGTTCTCTATTAGGAGCAACGCGTGGCCTGACTGCCGTGGTCCGCTGACCGAATGGCCCGTGCAAGGTACAGCCAAGCCTACCGGGCTCACACTGTCCATTTTAGCTCGGGGTTAATCTTATGTGACTTTTCCTCGTTGGTTGCTTCTCTCTACACTGCATTTATATTCATATTCTTGTGCTTGTGTAGTTGTAGTTGTAGACGGCTAGTTAAGTAGTGTAATTCGTTTAGTTGCTTCACGTGAGTAGCTCAACTAGTAGGTTAGTAAGCCTCGGTTACTTTGAGTGAACTAGTGTAGCTTGTTGTTTTGTTCTCTAGATTTTTTTGTGAACATGTTCCCTAGAATTATATATGTAGGGGGCTTGCTTTGAAGTGCTGGGCTAGGATGTAGGATTACAAGGGATTATCTTTGTTACTAATATTCTCAGCTAATTATATTCGTATAGGTACCAGTGATAGCTTAGTGCTATCTATGGCCATCTATGCGATTGGATTGACTTTGAAAGTACGAAAGGCTCGCAGACGTGATGCCAACCGCATTGACCAGTCAAAGCTTATACCACCTGGGTCTATTGATGGAAACGGGCCGAGGTTGATATATTTGGATGACTTTGAAACTATGAAGACATTGAAAATTGAAAGTATGGAAGACTAATGGACGTGATGCCAACCTCTAACACCCTAAAATTTACTCTTTCTGAAATAAAATTAAAATAATTTAATTATGTATTTTTGTGCTCATAAAATATAGAAAATAATATTTTTCACAAAATTAAAATTTATCATAGGATGTAGCAACATGGTTGTGCATACATGCTGGTGCATTTAATTTATTGTGATGAGTGGTTTCGACTAAAATTCAAAAAAAAATCAAATTCTTTTGAAAAGCTTTGAAAATAGTTTTGAAATAAAAGAAAAACAAAATCAAAAGAGAAAGTTTCCTTCCCTGGCTTTTCGCTCGCTTGGCCTTTCTCTCTCCCCTCTCCCTGCAGCCTAGCCCGAGCAGCTCCCTCTTTTGGCTCCACCGCGCAGGCTCGCTCCCACCTTCCCCGTGCCGCCCCCGACTCCGCCCGTGTGCGTGCGCCCCACGGCTCCTTGGCCTTAAATACCGACTCCCCGCACCGCGCCGCCGCGAAGCGCTAGCCCCGTCGTGTCTCGTGTTGTCTCCGTGCCGGCTCCGACCGCGTTAAGACCCTAGGTGAGCTCGCCTTGATCCCTGCTTCCACCACATGCTTTCCCCGCGTCGAATCGTAGACTCTAGGGCCCTCTTCGCGCTCGCCAGCAAGCTCTTCGCCGCCGGTCATGGCCGACCTCCGCGCGGTCACTATAGCCCGCCGGTAGCCTCTCTCTCTCCTCCTCCCATCTGATCTGCACCGTCCAATCTGAGATCAACGGCCCAGGTTAGAAGATACCGTTTCGGCCGGCAATTTTGCTAAAGAGACCCTTGGCTTTTGAATAATCTAACCCGCAGTCCACTCCAGAATCAAAATTCCAATTTTTATTTATTTTAATTCAAAATAGAAGGTCCACTTATTTATAGTTTTGCCACTACCTTCTTTAGGTTATAACTTCTTCGTTTTAACTCCGTTTTGACCCGTTCAAGTTGCGTTAGATTCGTAATTGCCTAATCTATATGTTCAAGCTACTGTTAAATATATTTTTGACTTTTGAAATTTGAGGTTAGATTTAATCTATTATTTTATTAAAGGAAATCTTGTTTAATTCATAACTTCTTCGTTATAGTTCCGATTAGAGTGCTTTTCACGCCTATGTAATCGTAGTAATGTGTAGAACATCTTTAAATCCTTTTTACTTGATGTTTATTATGTTTGGTGTACTGTTCTAATTTAGTTCTATTGTTTGCTTCGTGTATGATTGCATGGATGCTTGTGTGGTGCTTTATGATCATGTCCAGTTGGTGAGCTATACGTGGTGAATCGAGAAGCAATTCATTGAAGGTTTCGACTCGAAGAAGGATCAGAGTTTAAGGCAAGTATAGCATGCGATCTTTCTTGTTGTCCTATTCACTTTAATAATTTAATCATATGTATGTGTCTGCCTTGGCAACCATAGTAAATTTTCCTAGCTATTTGATATCGCGGATTCCTTGTCACCTATGGGGTATTGCATTGAGTAGTATGATGCTAGTGCTCAACTAAAGCCATGATCTTGTAACTTGACTAATGGAATATGCAATAAACACTAAAAGATGCTTTTTAGCAACATAGAATCAGAGGGCTGGAGCATTGGGCTATTTTTATGGTGCTCTAGATTCCTCTCTCTAAGGACTTATCTGTAAGTGATCATCTGGGACTTACAATACAACTATGAGGGTCACATGGCTCTGCTTTAATCAAGTATGAGGACCTTTTCTAGCTTGTTAGTGGTTATCTTTATGGCGTAAGAGGGGCTCCGACAAGTATGACCTTCGTCTACCAGGTTGAGTGCATTTTGGTTTCTTGACCTTTTGTCAGTCACTCCTTGGAGGGGAGTTCATGCTTATTGATGGAGAAACCTAGCGGCCCTAACTTGTTAGACAAACCTTTGAAACGCTTCATAGTGTACCCTGTCTGCTCATCTTGAAAGTGTTTTGGGAGTTATAAACCCGAGCATATGGGTACCACGACTCACAGTGAAAGTGTACAACCTCTGCAGAGAGTAAAACTGTTATAACAGTCGTGCTCACGGTCACGAGAGGCCTTAGAACCCTTACAGAATAGATGATGAACATTAATGATACTGATGATACATATGCTCACTAATGATTACTGTTTATGCTATTCATTATTCATTTTTACCTGATCATGTGTTTACATGGGCTTGTGAATAAACTTGTTGCTACTCAATTGCTAAAATCATGACTCACTAAAAGCTAACCGCAGTAAACCAGTGTTAACCTTTTGAGCCTCATGAACCCTATGTTATATTTATTGAGTACGATATTGTGGGGGTATGGCCCCCGGTATCCTCAAGACAAGGACATGGGCCGCACCGTCCGAGGTGGCCCGACCCGTAAGATCGAGGCGTGCACAGCAAGATTATAAGTTGTACTATATATTGTAATAGTACCAAATAGGATACTTTACTTGTAACCCTCCTCCTCCAGACTATATAAGGAGAGGCAGGGGTCCCCCTCAGGGGACAATCCATCTAGATCATACAGATCACAACAGATCTCACCCCAGATCAATATAATACACCAAAGACACAGGACGTAGGGTATTACGTCGATCAGACGGCCCAAACCTGTCTAAATCGTTGTCTCTACGCCTTGTGTCACCATCCAATTCCTATCACGCGCATCCTACCGATAATCTACCACCACGGGCACCCCTCTCGGTGGACTGCCGACCATATTTCATCGATAGTGGCGTGCCGGGTAGGGGTCCCCTTTTAGGGGTTGTGCGTGCTGATCCCAGGCGAACCAGATGGGAATTTTCTTCGTCAACGTCAACCGCTGTGACTCCTCTTCTCGTGGCTGGCGTCCTTCAGCAACGCGTCACAGCATGATGATATTGATCGGCCTCGGCGGCGGCGTACCAAGAAACTTGTCCCATGCTGATCGGATCCGAGATCCCACCGTGATGCCTAGCTAGCTTATAGATATGATCTAGTCTGACTCATGGCGGACATGCAACCAATCAAAGAAGGCCAAACCAGGATGTCTGCGATCAACTTGCATGTATATATGC